AATAATGTGTGTGTAGATAGTGAGTAATTGAACTGCAGTCAGAAGTATTGTTGACGTTCGTTGATATAGCGTTTGTTATAGGGCGACTGTTGAAAATAAGTGTATCGTAAAGTTGTATTCGGAAAGAATAAACCAGTTTTATTAAGTAAGGACTTGTGTCGCTAAAGTTTCGTCGGAATGAAGTTACGGAAAGTTCATTAACGAACGGAGACGTAACACTATATTATATCATTTCAACTGGTAATATTGTATATTTATAAGCCAATTATTTAATTAATGTATTTTAATACTTTAGTAAAGTTTATTGATCGTATGATAAAATTAAAAGCAGCCAACTCTAAATTATAAAAATGTGTAGTTTTCAAATATTTCCAAACAAGGGAATGTATTTTTTTTGTGTGTGTTCAAAATTCTTTCTCCAGCGATGACCGATGGACTTTACTTCAAATTTCAATGTTGAATCCTTTGAAGAAACTACAGGGAAAAATAAAAAGCATACTTTAATTTTAAAAAAATAATATCACAGTTTGACCCTATAAAGTCTTTCAGAGATTTTGGTTGAAAGTTTAGTGACTTTTTCTAAACACCATTTCGAACGATAAGACCGAGTTTGAGAAAGAATAGGTTGAGTGGTTGTTTGTGTCCAAGCCAAAGATAAATCAACAGTACAAATAGATATTGAAATAGCAATTGCTACAATGTTTGTAATTTATTATAACTGATATATTCAAGGTTTCTCTTTTTATTTGAGGGAGAGAGAGAGAGGGTTTAAACAGAGACATTTTCTATTATCTATGAATAATGCAATTAATTCATAACTCTAAGGAATCAGATTAAGTTATGCTAGGTGGGACGTGGTAAGTTTACAGATTTACAATGCTAAAATCCGGGGTTCGGTTCCCCGCGATGGACACAGCAGACAGCCCAATGTAGCTTTGCTCTAAATCAAACAAACAAATGACGTCAAAAATAAGACTTTGTTTCTTGTCTTAAGATTTGGTGTGTGTTTTAAGATATTACTAAATATTTACATAAAGCATGTTAGAAAATGTTGTGAAAAATGACAGGGTGCTTTTACTTAATTTATTTTTCAGGAAAACCAGTAATCTTAACTGGGTAATATTTATAATATAAAAACTAAAGATGTTTGGAACAAAACTTTCATTGCATCCGAGTCAGAAAGGCGAACTTCAGGGAACTGGGCCTAGCTTAATTTACCCAGATTTCCTTGAAATGTTAGGAAGGAGGTAACGCTGCAAGAAGTGATGCAAATAGTTTATAGCATTATATATTATTATATCACTGTAATTATAACATCAGGTATTATTGTGTTATTAGAACTCTGAATTATATGGAATAGTTAGTTACATCACGCAGTTTTAGACTTAAGGCAGAAGGAAGGGTGCATCAATGCTGAACGGTACAGAAGCGTTTTATAGTTCTTAATGCGGGTTCTAGGACCCAGAACCCAACTTCTCATTAAACCTCCTTTCTTGTTGGGTAAGTATTTTTTTTAAATTATGTCTGATAGACGGAATATCCCCAATGATTTGGGTGCTATGGCTACAGACATTTTCATTTTAAAATGACACCATGTATACTTTAATATAAATGTTATAACTCTACATTGTATTGTTGCGATCATGTATTTGTTAGCACGTGCATCCATAATAAAAAACGTTGTATCTTTACATAATATATACGCACATGAAGTAATGAAAACACACAGGTTCATACATAACAATTTGAAATAATTTAAGATATTTCTTTCGGCCGAAAGTCATATCTTTAATACGTCAGCTAATTTTTAAAGTCGTTTGTTTTCTATTTATTGAGTGTTTGCTTCATTTATGTGTCCATTAAAATTATTTTAATGGGTTAAAATGAATGTTTTGGTAAAAAATAAATATATCTTTCGAAATATATTTAGAAACTATTATATTTGTAAACATTTTATTCATTACCTTTTATATTTAGATATTACTATATTTGTAAGCGTTTTATTCATTATCTTTTATAAAAGATAATTGTCTGTAATCATATAATGTAGCGCATAATGAACTACAAAAAAAAATGGAAATACAATTGAAAGAATTTTGGAGGAACTGAATTTTGCTGACAAATAAAACTCCAGTCAGCATTAGACACAAGCTCGGAAATTTAAAGGTTCTGTTTTATTATCTTATAAAAAAAAATCATATCGTTGTGCATAATTAAAGGAAGTTTGAAACAAAGGATTTCTCACTAAATAATGCACTTTCGGAAATTTAAGTGTTATTTTCTATTTTATTTATACGATGGCGCTAGTAGTACAACAAATATTTCTCATTAAAACCAACATATTGTGTTGTAAATAACTGGATTATAGTGTCGTATACTGTTCGTAGCGTTCTATATTCTTCGTCATTGACATTGTACTTTACATTAGACTGATATAGTATTCCATAATGATATATTAATTCCCATACGAGTAAAATTATTGATATGATGAAAAATTTCTTAATACCGGTTACATATCTCAAATATTTAGCTTAACCTACTGGTACCAACAGGACCTATTTAGCTGCAACTACAAGTACCAGGAAACGTTAGCAACAGTAGAAGGTAATTAGTTGAACTTATAGGCCTCGAGAAACTACAAGCAATAGTAGAGTATTTAGTTTCAACGTCCAGGTTCCAGGTAGCCTTCAAAACAATAAAAGTTATCCTTGCGTTGGAATGTACACTGAATAGTACTGTTGCGTCAGCGAAGCCACATGACTAGTGTCACGCCACGTTTCTAGAACTATCCTGTACCTTGGCGAATGCTCTAGTACTCTCTGACTGCAGATCAATTACTCACTGTCTACACACACATTATTCGTCACGTTGTCACCCTCTTTTATATACCAGACTACCCTATATCTAGTAAAGGTTATTGAGCACGTTCGTTGATATAGCGTTTGTTATAGAGCGACTGTTGGAGATAAGTGTATCGTAAAGTTGTATTCGGAAAGAATAAACCAGTTTTATTAAGTAAGGACTTGTGTCGCTAAAGTTTCGTCGGAACGAAGTTACGGAAAATTAATTAACAAACGGAGACACAACAGAGTTTTGTAGCTTTCCTGAGGAGATTCGTTACAAGCTAATCCTTAAAAACCATTTGTTTAAAATATCACGAATGTTTTATTGTCACGATGCATGTACAGAAATGATAGCACATGCTAAACTTTATAAGTAGAAGTGGTTTAAATTAATGGTTTAGGTGGTGCTAAATGTATCTTGACCAGTTGCCACTCTTAAATGTTTGTCGTATGGTGGCTTTATTGAATGTCAAGATGTCTTCCGAAAATCATCCAAGATTGCTGCTTTAATTATCACAGTTTAATCTATATTCTCTTATATCAACTAGACATAAGATAGGTAGAAAAACATTTCTGGGTTTAGAAAATCTTTTTATAAGATCTGAAACTCTATCTCGTGGCGGCCACGTGATTTCAGTATCGTAGCCATGATAAAATGAAAAAGGAGATAAGCGGTGTATTTCTCGTAGTTTTTTGTATGTCACACTTGGTAACAGTATATTTACTTTATAGTAAGGGCAAAGCGTGGCATAACTATTTATAAACTATGGATTTGCAAGTTCATCGTACTCCGCACTTTGAAGCCGTAATTGCGTTATAAGGGTGACGGTCAAATCACACTATTTTGTAAGACAAAAAAGTAGTCCAATAGTTGGCGGTTGGTGCTGTTGACCAACTGCATTCCCTGTAGCCTATCAGTTCAGAAGTAGTGCAGATTTCCTTTTAGCTTTGCTCCATTACCCAAAAACAAACAAGTCTTGATAGAAAAATATAATACAGTTATATGTTTGGTCTATTTTCTAGTGCTAAATAAATAAAGTTTACTCACTGCATTCTGTTTAAAAATGTCACGTTTAACTTACGTCAAAGATTATATAAAAATTACACAAACTTGTGCCGTAGCTATTTAATTCCTGAATCTTTTTTTTTTTTCTAGCACAACTGTCTGCAGTAGAATAGGTCATCCATTTTGGAAGGTTTAGTTAGGACGTGAAATATTAAAAGTAAAATGTCCGAGTGAACTGTCAAAGTGCTGTTTTTACAATGAAATTTATGAAGTATCAAGTATTAACGAGCAGCAGTGTTAACGTATGTAGCTCATCTTTATAAAACTCCAACTGTAAAGTGTAATGTAGAACATGTATAACGTTAAATCAACTTAAGTTAATATTATTAGACAGTTTTCAATATCATTGAACGTTACAAGAGATGAATAAAAATATTAAAGTTATTTTTTTATTCAATTTTTAGATTACAATACTGAGTTGAACTTGAACGCTACTAAAAATTTAGGCTTAGAAAATACGTAGAGTAAATCAAGTAAAGTAAAAGTTAGTCTGTCATTTAATTCAAATTTCAATCTCATTCGTGTTATTTAGATTCCAATGGGAAGGGAGAGAACAAACCCTTAATCTTATGGAAAGAGCTAGAGTAGTGGTTTACCATTTCTCATCTTCAGTTCTGTAAAGCCTAAGACGTTGTTTTAATTGAACTTTTTGCACTGAATAGGATTTTTTTTTTTTATTTTGCTAGTAAACATTGTGCAGTGTTATTCAGGTGAAAATAATAAGAGATTTCTCATTACACAAGTTCAGTCACTCTATTAGAAAAATAAAATTGCCTTAACTGGCTAGCTTTTTTTTTCCAAATCTCAAACTTATGTCCTTTTCTGCCAAAGGCCTTTATCCTATCATTACCCCCAAAAATCTTGTAACCTACAATAAGATTCCCTCTTACCCATCTTTTCTAAAGAGAAAATAGTTAAGAAATCTTAATCTATCCCTGTAAAATACCCTTCCAACTATGGAATCATCATAATATCTCTCCTGTGTGTCCATTCCAATAAATCAATATCCTTAGATGAGGAGAGATAAAATGTACACAGTATTTCAAGCAAGGTCTAATTAGTGATTTTTATAGAGAAATAATTACCTGTTTTGAATGGTAATCAATATATTTATAAATACATCCTAAAATTATACTTGCTTTACTACTAGTAACAGAGCATTGACTTGATGGCTTGAGTGATTTACCCACAAGTATGCCAAAATTATTTTCTTCACTCAAGCTACTAAGTGAGTTCTCATCTGTATTAAACATGGGATCCAAAATATGATGATCATAATGCCATAATTACATAGTACATATGATAATTAAAGGTCATTTACCAAATATTTATTTGCAATTTATTTTGTAATACCTTAATCCTCAATACAGCTGAAAATACAATATCCAAGAGTTTAATGTCATCACCAAACTTTATTTAGTTTACAGATTTTGTTTCTGTCAATACTGTAAATAAGAAAAAAAGTAAAGGCCCATGCACTGATTTTTGAGGTAATTGACTAGTAACAGTTGTTGCTGTATGCCATCCAACCACATTATGGTCAAATAAACTTTTTCCCAATACTACTGTAATATACTTAGCTAATCTTTTGTGTGACACTTTATCAAATTTTTTTTTTACCTTTAACATACTTAAAAATCTTGATAATAATTTTAATATTATTAACACACTCTTTCTTATGCACTCTTTTCGATTTTCTTTTTTTTAAACTTATCCCTGATTTTTTTTTCCTCCATAGCTCTGTAAATCTCCCAACCTGTTTGTAACTTAACTTCTTAAATTTGTGGCATTTATTATTGATATTTCTACTTTGTCTTTAGTAAGGAAATTAAGTTTGATCATTCCTGTTATCCTTTTCTGCTTTTTTTAGGAACAAGCTTATCTTGAATTAAAAGAAAATGTTGTTATTTCCAAGTTACCTTTTAATATGTATCCTTGTCATTAATGATAAATCTTGTCTCATGCCTCCATACTTGGCTTTCTGAAACTTATGAACTAGAATTTAATTTCTTTCTATCTCAACATGTTGCAAAACATCAAACCCAGTAATGCAATTATCACTCTTTCCCAAATTTTATCCTACTTTAACTCATGCAACCATATTTTAATTACTGGTTAAAAACAAATCTAAAATGGAAACCTATCATTCCCTAGGTATTTGAAGAACTTGTAGCATTCTGCCACAATTTAATTCTTCATATTTTTGTCGACACTAGACAGATGATACATAGTTGAACAGACTTGTTTAAACATTTGTTTAACAAGAAGTATAAGCTCAGAATGGTATATTCTTTCATTGGGGGTGTTTCTGTGGGCCAGACTAGTTTCGGAGAATTTCACTCCTCATCAGTGACTCTGGACACGACCACTGAATGAAACTTCAGACCAAACCAAGCATTTATAGTAGTGAGGTATTAAAATTCTTGTCCTAGTCTTTCTATTTTCCTCATTATGAATACTTTATCAGTATACTTTTAAGTAAAAAACATTACAAATTTAAATATTCAATATGATATTCTGTTCTTACAAAAATGCCTTTAATGAAGCAATACTTCAAAACAGGAAGTGAAAGATGATCAAAGAATGGGACTAGACAAATGATGAGAAAGTATAATATTCTTTAATTTACATTTTTGTTTCGTAATTTACCTGTTTTGCTTCTATATTAACTCAAACATTTTGTTATAAGATTAGTTAGGTTTATGTATTTATATACACATGGCTAAAAATTTATACTAATATATAAAATGTAATCCAATTACATCTAAGTATTATCAACTACAAGTAATAACTGCATGACTGTAAATTGCTGTACATTATTTTAATCATGCACAAAGTCTTGTTTAATCATGAATGACCTAATTTCTTTTCTTATCTGTGTAAACACAACATAATAGGGTTATTGCAACATACTGTTTACTATTATGTGAATAGCTGATATTAGTTTCATGAACAAATTATTTATTGATTGATGTGTTTTATAGCCAACTAGCAAAAACAATAACTAGTCAACATGGGCTGTAAAATATAATAGCTAGTAATAAATGCCCACATAACAGAAATTAGTTGTTTTTAATTGGACTCTCGCAGATCAGTGGAATATGCTCTTTGGTACATCCACTGTTTTTTCTTACTTGTTTATCTCCATTTTTTCAGCTCTCACTATCATGGTGGCTTAAACTTTTCTGTTTCACTCTAAGCATCCATCTCACATGGACTTACACTTTTTAACAGATGCCCCTTTAGCCTGATGGGGTGCAGTTCTGGATACTTTCACCATTTTAGGTGTCTTGTCTCCTGTAGAGTGGTTTTTCCACATTAATGTCCTTGTTTTGTGATCAGTGAGCCTGCCACCACCTTTTGTTGCAGTTATCTGGACATTGTGTTTTGATATGTTTCTACAAATCTGCTGTCATTTCATACATCAACTAACAGGAATGTACTCATTTTTGTATCATCTGCTTTCTTGTTCTCGAGTCCCTTTTATGGGCTCATGACAACAATATCAGCATGTTGGTCTTCCATGTTCTGGGAGCTTTAAATTTAGTGGTGGATTGGTTGTCTTGCATGGACCAAGTCCTTCCAACAAAGTGGTCCTTGTATCTCCTGGTGTTTCTATGTGGATGTTTTCCTACTTTGGAATTTTTCCTATGGATGCATTCATGACTCCTCTATCCACCACACTTCCACTTTTTTTGGTCATCAATCCTAGACTCAGGCTCTGGTAGTATTCCCTCTGATTCTAGTTTGGTGCACCCTCTGTGTATGCCTATTCTACTCTTCACCTTCTTCCCATGGTGCTATCCTTAATTCACAGCACCCCATGCCAATTTTGGCTAACTCACTTGTGGTTTCTGTACTTTTACCTCTTTGTGGTCCTGGAGCCTCTTTTTTCTTTTCCCTTGAAGGTCCCTTTATACATCAGCCTTAGATATCCATTTTTCACTATGATGTTTGATGTCATCATCTTTACCAGTGGCTTTTGTCCAGCTTCTTGCAAGAAGGACAGGTGTTTCTTGTAAAGTAGCCCCTTTTCTTGTTCACTCTTGTTGGCCATCTGCCCTTGCATTTTACCACAGTAATTAAATTGCTAATTGATGCTGGTTGAGTTTCCAGGTTATCTGATTCTTCCTCAGCTCACTTTTTTTTTTTTACCTGACTTTATTGTGGGTGGTCTATCTGTTTCTACAATTGCTAGTTAAATAGCAGCTTTATCAATAACCTTTCATTTTTTCCCTGCCATTCTCTTTTAGTTTATCTAGTTCTTACAGACTTCATCCAAGCCTTTCTAACTAATTATCTTTCTCATCCAGTTTCTCTTCCTGAATGGAACCTCTGTTTAATTCTCAGGACCTTTATATTTTACATTGAACCTTTGGCTACCTGTTTCCTACACCATCTTTCTCATAAGACATATATTCTTCTTTCATATACGGTATGTCGCTCTGATATTTTTACCTTGGATGCCTCCTGCGCATTTTAACACAGGGATAGATTGATTTTTTTTCCAGACTACTTCTTCCTCATCAAGACTTAGGCTTTTGGGTGGATGAATGAATGTTTTCTCAAATTACTTCTCTTTCTTCTCTGTATTATTTATCCTTCATTGTCATATTCAAGCATATTTCTGTTGTTTTGTTCACACTTTCTCCTTTTGAGGTCATCACCATTACCTTATTTTGCCATGGGATTTCTATTCTTGTGACTTATCTCCTTCTACCTCACTGAGTTAAACAATTCATATGACTTGTCTATTCTTGTATGGTATGGAAGATGTCTCCTTTCATCTTTCTTTGTCACCTCCAATCAAGTTCATCATTTTCCAGCTTCTCTTTCTTCCACCTCTGGGTTTCATCTCCCTTCAGTTACCATTCTCCAATTTTCCCAGTGGGATCTAAAGAGTTGAGTTGTTGATTGTTTCTTACAGCTTCTAAAAAAAAAATATATATATATATACACACACACACTAGAGACAATGTAACCCATCATGTGGCAGGTGTTGCCTCAAAGGGAATGCTTCTTCAAAATCTGCAGAACTATGTTGGCACTACATATATTTCACTTCCAAGCCGTACTGCTACTTTGAAACAGAAAAAAAAGGACTGGCTCTAGTTCCCCGCTCACACACTTAGTTGATTCCTGTTGTCCCTATTTGCAGTAACCCATTGCATAGTCTTTCAGTATGGGGTTTTATGCAAATGGCAAACTATTCTTGTTTGGCTCACACACCTGTCTTGTATTCTTCCCTATGCAAATTCCTTTCTCCTCTTTTCTTCTAGTGAAGTGGGAGAACCCTAGCTTCCCCAGTACCAAGCTGCTATGGAGATCGATATGGTAGTTGTAATCTTGCTGGTATGAGACCAAGTGAACACACCCATCAATTGAACTCAGCCTTGTGCCTGCTTAGTCTATTAAGTTTATCCCATAAGTATTTCTTATACACTGAATGGAAGTCAAATATAAGATATGAAAGTGTCCTCCTTTTATTTTTGGTAGGTTAGTAGAGAGCTAATTGGCAGGTGCCTGAGGATTATAGAGTTGTTAATGCTACTTTTATTTTTAAAGAAAGGATTGTCCTGAAAATTGTTGGCCAGTTAGTCTCATCTTATTAATAATAAGGTTCTAAAGCATTAATAAAAGAATTAAAAAAATTAACTAAGAAGTATCATAAAATGAGAGCTATCACAGATTTGCCTATAGGAAAATTTTGCTTTACTAACCTGTTAACTTTTTTGAGGATATTACATGTTATCTGGATGATGGAAAGGGTGTGGACTTGGTATACTTTTCAAAAGGATTTTTATAATGTGCCACACAGAAGATTAGCTAAGATCAAGCAGAGGTTTGGTAAATATTAGTTAATTGGATTGAAGGGTAGCTGGGTGAAAGCATAAAGTTGCTTTTAATGGAGTGTAGCCAAGCTGGGCTCTTGTTACTATAGTGATATGTCTCAGGGGGCAATGAATGGGATTTTGCTTTTTCTTATTTACATTAATGACCCTGATAGAGGAATAATTAGTAAAGTTTGACGATGACATTAAACTGTCAGTTATCATATTTCTAGCTGTATTGAAGATGTTGAGGTACTATAGAATGACTTGGATCAATTGGTAAATTGGTCAAATAGTTGGTAAATGGACTTTAATTAAAGTTAAAGCATTTGGGTTTTCATAATTTGGATAATACATGTAAAAGCTTGACTGAAGAAAAGGATCTTGGTATAGTGATACATAAGTTATGCAATTAATCAAGGCAATGTAATGTTTGTGCTAATAAAACTAATTGAATTTATATACATATTAAGTATAATCCGAAAGAGGTATTATCTTTTTATACAAATCATTGGATAGGCTTTACATGGAAAATTGTGAAAAGTTTTGGTATTTTTATTTGAGAAAGGGTATCAACTTATTGGTTCAGAAGAGGACTACTAGTATGATTCCAAATAAGGAAGGAGTATATTATGGCAGTAAGTTATTTTATTTTCACAGGAGAAAAAAAGGATAAGAGGTGATATGATTAAAATGTACAAGATTGTCTAGAGGATCAATAGAATAAATGTTTTTGTGCTGAAATTCTGAAGAAGATAGGATGAGAGGACACAAGTGTAAGATTTGGAAGAAACAGGCTAGGCTCAAGTTAAGACAATTTTATTTTTTCAACAAGGTGATTAGCTTATGGAATGAGTTGCCATTGGTAATATAGGCTATTATATTACAAGAGTTTAAGAATGACATGCGTTTGCAGGGGAACCTATGAAAGGTAGAAGTAGTCTTCATATCTTTTAAACATATTATTGGTGTATAATAATTCTTTTTTATAGAAAAATATCTTAAAATATTTTTCCCATGATCATCATCAGGAATAGTGTTTTGCAAAAATTTAGGGCTCAGCTGTATGTTTGAAATAATGAATCATAATCACTTACTAAGAAGTCCTTTTATGCACAGATGTGTAAGTTTTGGATGTGTTGTATAAATTAATTTATGAAGAGTTTGTGTCTAAATAATTTAAAATTAATCATGACTCACTGAATTCACCTTTTTAAGTATTTGTATATGCAAGTATATATTTTATATTATTTACTGTTATTTAAATTAGCAGATACACAATTTGTTATTAGAAAGCATACAAGTGAATATAATTTTAATTGTATTATTGAAATTGATATTTATGCTATTAATTCTCTGGACTTTTTTTTTAATCCTTGTCATGTTACACAATCAAAAATAGCAATGATGTCTCGAAAGCAGTTCTGCTGTCAAATGTGTAAACAGGTTTACCACAGTAAAGTGAAACTTCAAGCTCACATTAAAACTCATTTGGTGCCAGAATCTGGGTTTCAAGATGCCAAAAATAAAGATTCAGGTGCTGCATGTAGACATTTGAAAAAGGAACTGATATTTGAAATTTGCAGACAAGAATTTAGCAGTGCTTTTTCTCTCAAAAAGCATGAAAATGCAGCAGGTAATATTATTCAAATGATTGTTGAAATATAATTTTCTATACACGTTAAAAATATACAGAGCTAGTTTAATGTTACAGTTGTGCAAGTTGCAATTTCAAATTATGTTTGATATTATGCCATATTCTATGTAAATCAATATAATCAAGTTTATTTTTATTCAAAAATAAGTTCTTTGTTTAGTGGCTTTTTAATTTTTTTAACAAAAAATGCTGAAGTATATTGAGATTTCATATTTTAAATTTTCTACTTAACTGATAAATTTAGGAAAATGTAAAAGAAATAGAACAAGACATAGTTGAAATCTCCCAAGATGATAGAGCTATTCCTTTAGAGGATGATACAAATCAAGATACTGAAAAGGAACAAATGAGAGGGAAGATTGCTACCCGTTTTAAGTCTTTATTCAATGAAACAATATTCAGTGCAAAACAAGAAACCATAATAAGGCAGTACCAGTGTCATATGTGTAAAAAATACTTCAGTCGCAAGTATAATCTTGACCGTCATCTTCATTTGACTCCATGTTCTGACCAACCTGTTGAAAGACATAGCTGTCAACTGTGTGAAAAAAGCTACACTCGTAAGGTATGTGACTTTAGATCAAGACTTGAGAAGCAACTGCTTAATATATTTTTTTCCTATCTCAATTTTGGTTTATCTCAGGCAATGTACTTTAAGTACTTCTTTTGCTATATTAGATTGCAAACAAGCAACAACCGTTGCTTACAGTTATTGTATTTGATCCTTTGCTTACCATAAGGACATGTATAGTATGCCCATTATTTCTATTCCGAGTAACCATATGGATGTATTTGGATAAGAGTTTTTCAAAGTGAGTCTAATGATATATGGTTTATAGGGTCTTTTCCTTCAAATTGTTGGACATACAAGGCTGGTTAGTTTAAGAGTTATTATTTAGTTTATTTGGCGATTTAGTATTTTATAGTTATTTAGTTTTAGTAACAAAAGTGTTAAAAGTTAATTATTTTAAAAGTGATAACTGTGCCATGTTTCATTACATAGTATCCCTCAGCAGGACAGCAGTAAGTCTTTGGATTTACAACGCCAGTATTGGGGGTTCGATTCCCCTCGATGAACACATCAGATAGCCAGATGTGGCTTTTTATAAGAAAACACATGTTACATAACTCTGTATGAATTGTGCATTGAGTATGCAGTTTAATTGTTGTACTAGGCTTTAGTAATATTTTTGACGTCACCTTACTCAAAACTTCCAAATTTTTCTAGTTGTAATATTTTTGTCACTAGAGGGCTAAATACTTCTCGATTTTTCTGTTTTGTGTTAGATACAGAAAGGAAGTTAAGAAAGCAAGTTAAGTGAGAGATAGTTAGACAGATGTAGACTGAGTGATTGACAGTTTAGTTGTGATGGGTGATTTCTAAAGACATTAGTAAGAAGTTAAGTCAGAAAAAGTGAAGTAAGTTAGTGAAAGTGAAGTTAGAGTATGTGATTATTAGTTTAGCTATAATGGGCAATATTTAAAGTGAGTTTCACAATGGTACTGTAATAATAGAGATAAAAAATAATAATTTGTCTTGTCAAAGGGTCTGCTTGTTTGTTTGAAGTTAAGCACAAAGCTACACAATGGGCTATCTGTGCTCTGCCCACCACAGGCATTGAAACCCGGCTTTTAGCGTTTTAAGTCTGCAGACATACTGCTGTGCCACTGGGAGGCTTGTCAAAGGATGTTATAAAGTAATTGAATCCACCTGTGCAGACTGATGAAAAGGAAACAATTATTTGAAGTTATGGGTACAACTGTGGTAATCCACAGGGTAGTGTAAGTGAATCTATCACAGATTGTGCAGTAAGAACAGAGTAGAGAAAAATAATTAGTCTTATCAATTGAGTTCTAAAGTAACTGAACTAATTTGTTTAAGAGCTTTGGATACAACTGTGATAACCTATAGTGTAAAGAATTTTTGTACATAAGTTGGACTTGTTTTGAATATATTATATATATATATATATATATTAATTTATTGCCAACAAGTCATAGACACCTACTGAAAAGAATACCAGCCCACATTTGTCAAACCTACCAGGATTATACAGTGGTAACTGGCAGTGAAAGAATATGTGAACGACAGTGGAAATAAGTAGGCCTATGTACGCACAATGGTAGTGGTGGAAAAAATAGTGTAGAGATGATAATCATGGTATATAATAATATCAACAGATTTTGATAATTGGACTCAAAGAGGTGAGCATCTTGGGCTAAAAGATAGTGAATTACAATAGTTTGTTGAACAACAACAAGAACTAGGGAGAGAAGAGTGGCAACAGAAGAGGGAGGAGGAGAGATAAAGAAGAGAGGAAGAAAGATTAAAAGAAGAAAAGGAGAGAGAAAGACTGAAAGAAGAAAAGTAGAGAGAGGAGAGACTGTAAATAGAGAGAATAAGAGCACAAATTGAGAAAGAAGAAAAGGAGAGAGAGAGAGAGAAGACTGAAAGAAGAAAAGTAGAGAGAGAGGAGAGACTAGTAAATAGAGAGAATAAGAGCACACAAATTTAGAAAGAAGAAAGGAGAGAGAGAGAAGACTAGAAAGAAGAAAAGTAGAGAGAGAGAGAGGAGAGACTAAATAGAGAGAATAAGAGCACAAATTGAGAAAGAAGAAAAGGAGAGAGAGAGAAAGACTGAAAGAAGAAAAGTAGAGAGAGAGGAGAGACTGTAAATAGAGAGAATAAAAGCACAAATTGAAAAAGAAGAAAAGGAGAGAGAGAGGAGAGACTGTAAATAGAGAGAATAAAAGCACAAATTGAGAAAGAAGAAAAGGAGAGAGAATGACAGTCTTGAAAAATTTTCAATAAACTTTATGTTAGTGCTTCTAGAAATACTTAAAATAAAAACACAAACATACATTAACTTTTGAATTATAACTGTAAGTTCCAACAAGGTACATTACTTCCACTCACATACACAGCTATTCTCATTCAGTGCTGCCCTCTCTTTGCAAAAATGTTTTTGCCTGCCACAAGCCTTTCATTCCAATGGTTAACTGATTTTCACATGCAGACTATCATGTGACGAACCTTCACCAATAGAAGCGTCACACACCCACGTGACTCATGTGACTCCCCCTATGTTATTTTACTTATCTTGGGCAGTGTTCATGTTCAGATGTTTAGTTTTTGCTCGCTTCAAGTTTTGTTAATATTCATATTGATTTACTCTTTTCGAGTTTACCATTTATTATCCAATAATACTGATTTGTTACTTATTCCAAAGTGGAATTAATTTATATTTCGACCTAGTTACAGAACTTAGTCATTGATTACAAACTTTTTATGCTTTATATTTCTTTTTACCAACACAGTTGTGTTTGGTTATTCATTTTGAATCATGAATTCAGAAGTTCAGGTTACCACTTTGGAGATTATACTTGGCAATTATATGTCAAGAGATTGTTTGTTATTTGAACCATCCTTTTTCTCCTGATGTTGTCCAGTTTCCTCCTGAACATACCGAATCTGTTCGGGATTGTGACGGATTTATTATTCTATATTTATTTTAATATCGATGTTTGTTTAAATTAAGTATATATTTGGAAATGTACATAATGTATACTGTTAAATATGAATTGCGAAACTCACGCCTATTCTCTTAAGTTGTAGAAGATTCTCATGTGTAAGAATCAACAATATATGTGTGTACGTAAATGCTAGTGTAGCTCTGTATTGTTACGTAATCTGAATTTTCGAGGAACTTTCCACATGGCTATAAATATAACCAACGTGCTGCACCTAAAAAAACAGTATATATATTATTCGTGTGCTATCAACTTTGGAAGCTATAACTGTGATTGTTATAATGCTTATTAATCGGAAACTTCAGATATAATGACCAGGAACGTTTATAAATTTCGAACATTACAAACCATTTAACTTCAGTGGATTCACATCAGACATTAGTAATGTTATGAAAACATTACCTAACGTCACCGGGCTTTGGATGAGTTTGTTTTAGCCTACCATCAAGCTCATTTCCATTCCATGATTCTCAGCACCTGGTTCCTTAATCAATTCGCCTCGAGTGCACTACCCCATTGTTGTGGGTCACAGTGGGTGCACTTGTTGATTGCTTTGCTTCTTCCTCTTGCGCTACTCCTCAATGTTTTTATGTTAAGGATGTTGCTGCATTTTGGGTGGTTCCAGTCTTTTTTGATTTGTTTGCGACATAGCACATTACATTTTTCGTGCTTGTATTCGTCCAGAGGTCTGGTTCCTGGTTCATTATATATGTGTTTGTATGTATGTGTATATATATATATGTATGATATACCTCTCTTCTCACATGTGCCCTATTCACAGATTGATGGTGGGATTTCTCCTTCCAGTCAGCTGAACTTGAGGTGAAGAAGGTATGATCCTCTTTCATACCCCCCACATGAATGTTGTTTCCTGGCAGTCAACTTTTGGATGCAGTTGGCTTGCCATGTACAGTTTGTTGCACCCTAGCCACTCTATACCTTGGGGCACATCCCTTAATTTACCCACGTTCCGTTCATAAGAGAGATTGAAATTATTATATGTTGAGGTTCAAATCACTGTCCAATTTGTCTTCTCTCCCATTGGGATGTGCTCCTCACAATTTTCTGACCCGATCCACACTTTTTTTACACCTGGGTGAAGAGTATATTTGGTACAGAAGTGGTGTGGTCTCCCACATATAATCCTCTTATTAGTGGGTTTGTTTGCTAGGGTGTCCTTTGAACACTTTCAGAAGATGTTTCTACTTTCTCCCTTGCACCAGTCCCTCCATCTGTTCAATGTGGGATTCTAGCTATGTATGTGAGCAGAAGTAAGGTTCCTTGTCTGAAGTTATAATTTTCTTATACTGAACATTTCTGACAGATACTTACTTCTACTCACACTTCCCACCCTTCCTCCCCATTGTCAATTGGTGCTTCAGTATCTGCCTAAACTTGAAGTTATAGTTAGGTAGAATAGCATAGAGGGAGTCACATGACTTATGTGGGTGTATGGTGTTTCTCTTGATGGAGGTTTGTTGCATGATAGTTTGAAAGCGAGAATCAGTTAAACCATGTGAATTGAGGGGTGCGTGGGAATAAAAGTCTTGTGACATGTGAAAAAAATTTTGCATTTAGAGGGCAACTATGAATGAGAATAGCTATGTATGTGAGCGGAAGTAAGTACCTGTTTGAAATACATTTTCAGTACAGGAAAATTATAACTTTCATTAGTTTATAGTAGAAACTTTATACATCTAAACATATTTATTACATTCTCCACAAAAAAAAAGTCAACATTAAATTATTACCTTCATTTTAAATATTTCAGCTTAATAACTTTGCCAATTCAGAGAACAAAGACAGCTTTTAGTTTCAAAATACATCATGAATGTGGAGGGGTAAATCCTCAGACTTTGTGGGCTGTATGAGCCAGAACCATGTTTTATGTAAAAGTAATCTTATTGATGAGTTGCTTTAAATCAACATCCAAATGCTATAATATTAAGAAACAAACAAACACTTTTGGGATCTTCTAGGATGGTATACTGCCTTGTACCAAGTTCATTTGCCATCCACTTCTACTAAGGACTT